AATGTTGGCTGCCCTGTCATATATTAGTTTGTGGTTTAATGTCATTTAGGTTAGGGTTAGGGTTAGGAACTTAATTAGGGTTAGGGTTAGGATTCTCAATCATTATTATAAATCATTAATGATATCAAAGTTGGAAACACTCCTAATGGAGCGTTAGCCGTGACCCATTGGCATAGCCTAATCTTCCAAGTTCTGCTGATAGGGTCTATGTCCCCCAGGGTACGGTTTTTCACTGCGATCATAACGCCCGGCCTTTGCTACGGAGCATAGAGGCTGCTAGATACAATAATGTAACTCAAGAAGTGTAATAACAAAACTGGCCTACTCTTGTTGGGTTACATTTGAAAACAAAAGCGCACATGGCCGGTTCATCTTGTTGTTGAGCGCAAATACAGTTTCCTACCGGTCAGTATCACTCACTGGGATTAGGGCTAAGACATGTGTCTACCACTAATCTCTACTATACTAACATTTTTAGTATAGTACAGATCAGTGGTGTCTACATGCACGTAGAATTCTAGAAACGTAACTCAACTCGTTCGCGAGATATAATAGTTAAATACACTTTCCTACCGGCCAATGCCATAGCGTGATAGCGATTAGCGTGTGTTCGGGGGCGGGGCGGTAGGGGGTTCGGAGTCGGGTGCCGCCATATTGACTGGTAGGAAAGTGTATTTGCGCCGAAATCCATGCCTAAGCCATAATTATTGTACTAGAACTTGGGCTGATAGGATCTATGTCCCCCAGGGTACTGCCAAACCATACCCTGGGTACGGTCCGGTATACCGGAACGTACCCTGGTAACTATCTAGCTGATATGGTTAGGGTTAGGGTTATGGTCAGGGAGTAGGCGTAGGTGACTCCCTAGACTCGTTAGTGGAGTAGGCGAGGTACGGTCCGGCATATTAGATAGTATTTAGTACCAGGGTAGGTTCCGGTATACCGGTATCATAATTTTTAATACAATAATACAATAATAACTAAAAATGAAAACAATTTTTCGGAAGTAGGATTAGGCAAGTGAAATATCCGAGAGATGGCGGTAGCGCCGCTACACAATATCATTACGATTTATGTTTTGAATGTATTTAGGATTTTTAGAATAGCTTTTAGTTATTTTTGGGCATCCTCTTGTAATTATACGGACCGCTGCAGCATGGGAGGAACGTAACGTTCAACTGTCGAACTGAATGTCTGCCCCAGTAGTGCTGTAGTACAGTGTCAGTAGTATAGGAGTCAGGACTCTGTACTGCACGTAAAAATGTTTGTTCTTACCGACATGACAGACGTGGTCAAAGTGCCTCCGTGGATGTTCAATCTGAAACTAAATGAAGCAGTTGAACAAGAGTTAAACAAAAAATTTGCTAACAAGGTAATGACCGGAACTAGCTACGTATTACTGCTATGTGAGAAACGGTGGCGTTAGTGTCACTCAGGCTAGCCAGAAAAATAAACGTAGCCTAATAAAGGTTAGTCTTCAAATTCCAAGGGAATATATCGAAGACGGAGACAGACAAAGTTGATAAAATAGACAGCATCACTGTGGATTGCAGTGTAAAAACTTCAATTCTACTTATATTTATATACAAGTACATCAACCAACTTAACAAACCAGACAGAAATGATCTCCTACCGTACCTTACAATTATTGCACTCAAATCAAGTAAACTTAGAAATTTTATTATTTTAACGGCTCAACACTATTGCATCCATCACATTTATTCTCCATGTAAAAGACTGCTTTCAGTACATGTATTTGTATGTGAATTATATGCAGTAAAGATTTAATAATAATAAAAATAGACGTTTTGACGTCGGAATGTGTAAAACATCTTAAATGAGTTAGCCGGTGAGTCGAGCTGCCCGATCTACAGGCGAGTCATCTCGACCCATGAGCCAAACTGGCCAAGCTCCAGCAGGTAAACTCGACACAATGTGAGCCGCATTGGTGGGTGGGTTGAGTTAACTGGTGCCCAGAATGCACAATTACCATTTGGTCGCTTTCAAGCATGTTGTTTTAAAGGAGAATCAAATTGATTACATTCATGCGGCATTAGGAAACTAATTAGTGGAAAGAGTCCACACATTACGATTACAATTAATTGAAGCTTGACACCTTTTTTTCTCCAAGGCTGCACATAATGGTTCAAGAGTAAGGGTTCAGAGATTATGTTACCTGTTATTTCTGTCAAGCTATGCAGTAGATCTTCACAGCAATTTTTTAGAATTATTGTGGGGAGTTGCAATATTTCAAGTATATAAATTCGTCAAGTGCACCGACGACACTCTTTTGGAATGAGCTGAAAAGGATACAATCTCGACGGGTGTTGAAGTGAATCAGACGGTATTAAAATATCGTCAAAGAATCCCAAGGATACTGCAAACACACAAAATAACATGGTTATTAACAGTGTTCAATCACAGTGCCAATCGATTATCCTTAATATGTGTACGAAAATAACTTCAGAATAAGGTGTTACATATCATTAACAATGTGGATCATATAGGCTTGTATCTTTGATGAAGGCCTACTCGCCATGTTTATAGATGGATTTGGCAGGCTGAGCGATAGTGCTGCCATCTGTAGGCTGGCTGTGTCGGATATCATTTGAAAATAGGAGCACATGTACACCAAACCTGCAGGCACACCTAATTTATTTTTACATGTGGATGCAGTTTACATGTCTACTTGTTGTTAGGAGTCCAGTGATGTGTGGTAAAATCTACCCTATGTGCATGCATCTACATCTAATTAAGCATCCACACTGTACAAATGCATCACTGTTGGATTTATTGGGTGATAACCTAGAGCCTCACTCACCATAAACACCTTCTTTACTCGAGCTGCGAATTTTACCGACTACCACCTCATCCATAAATGGCCGGAATACCACGCACCTGAAATGAACTGGAAGGCAACTCGGATTTTAGACATTAAAGCAGTTATTGATTCCCTCTTGCTTATCGAAGCAGTTATCTCCATTATAATTTAAATGACGACAAGCTTGTCATCTAGCAATAGAAGCAATATTGACTCAGAAATAATCTAATTTGTACAAAATCGTCATTAATAAATAACTTTCTTGCATGCTATAGCAAAGATTGCATATTTCGGTAGCATTTAAAATCATTATTTTATTATATACCATTGATAAGTTATACCCAAGTACCAATATAATTCACAATTAACTTAAATAGATCAGTTTTACTCATCAATGATACTAGCCACATTTGTCATAACTGTGAAATGAAATGAAACATTAATAGGCAGTTGTGCAACTTAGCTAAGTTCATATAAACACTTGGAATGTTTGTATAGTTGTAGTGTCAATATGTTGCAGGGTATTTGGAATGAAGTAAAATATAAGCGAACACTAGTTTACCTTTTGTGTGAGATGATCCATCACCTGGAAAAACATGCGAGTCCTCAAGCTTGGATATGTCATACAAAGCTATACACAGACCCAGCTTATGTACGACCTATAAATGTAAAAAAACACCATATGATTATATATTACATGTATTAGTTGGTACACCCGGTGAGGAAATGCAAATACCCACTCACTAGCGCTTGCACATGCCTTAAATTCAACTTAAATTTGGGAGCAATTATTGCTAGCATCATTTTTTGCATTCGGTAAACAGTCCGATATGGCAAAATCACAGTGAGGTGAACTGGAGGTTAGCTCGTCCAACATATTTCATAAAGTTTATCATGGTGAAGTGAAGATTGGCATTTCTGTTTGTAGCACTGAATGATTTGAGGGTGATCATTGCTTTCGACATGTGCCATTTTCAAAGGATCCCTTAAAGTATTGGTTCTTCTATCTCTCACTCCATATATATTGGAAGTATTGTCCTTCCTCTTTGGTCAATTGTAAGTCGTATTTTCGTGGGAATAATTTTTTATTATATGTAGAGTATAATTTGTCACACATAATCAATCTCAATTTTCTATCGCACATGAGTCGAGCTGCCCAACCTCCAGACGGGTCATCTCGACCTACGAGCCAATCTGGCCGACCTGCAGGCAAGTAATTGAAACATGCTAGTCGAGTTTGCCGGCGAGGCGAGTTGACTACGGATCATGCATTCGTGCCTAGAGCACGAATTACTAAGAAAACATCGTAGTGGTGACCACCCGATGTAACTAATCTAGGCAACTCTGTGCCTGATCGAGTGCAAGTGTAATGTTGGTTTCAACCTTACATGATGGCGTGGGCAGTGATGAGACGGAGCAGCTGTGGGTGTGGGAGTATCACACCGAGGATGGAGAGACGCACGACCTGTTCATGGATGCCGGCGAGGAGATACGGTAGGTGTGTGTGTGTGTGTGTGTGTGTGTGTGTGTGTGTGTGCATGCGTGCGTGCGTGCGTGCGTGTGTGTGTGCGTGTGTGTGCGTGGTCGGCCGCTTGACGCGACTCATTTCACAGCCGTTACCTATTCCGAGAGAGAAGAGAGAGAGGAGGGAGAGAGAGAGAGAGAGATGAGAGAGA